TATATATATATATATATATATATATATATATATATATATATATATATATATATAATATATATAAATTTATAAAATATATGAAAAATTGATGTGGGTGCTTAAATGAAAGGTCTCGATGAAAGTAACATCGAGATGAGCTTATATCATTAAAAATCTCAATATTTCACAAGATACAAGGTCATTTCTTAATTATGCATCTAGAGATAAATTTTTAAATGCAGCCTAAATATTATTAAAATCCCAATCAATCATTTATTAAAGCCAAAAAATTCTCGAATTATCGTCAATATTTATTAATCATCAATTGATATTACATGTGACAACAATTATTTACAATAACTCATTTAAAAACCAAATTAACTTTCCAAATTTTCCATTTTAAGGCGCAAGATTATCAACATAATCAACAGCATGTTCAACATAAACATTACCCTCATTATCATCAACCTCAACACGTTCTCCTTTGTTCTCCACAAGAACATTCCTTCTCAATCCTTGCGAGTTACTGCGCTGATGACCATAAAGCGAGTTCAGCTGATTCCTGGAGTTCCTTCTGCTCTTTGCATTAGGATTAGGAACATGATTGTGATTGCCATACCACCTAGATCCATTGGACTCATGAGATCTACGAGCTTCAACATCGACCTCGTGATCATTCACCAAAATATCAGCACCATCACCATCACCTCCTAAACTATTGGTGTTGACATTGACATTAGTATTCTTGTCAAATGATCTGCGCATCTGATTAGAATTGACATTAGTATTAACATTGCTGTTGTCATCCAATGACCTGCGCATCTGATTAGAATTGACGTTGGTGTTAACATTTCTGTTTTCATCCAATGACCTGCGCATCTGATTAGAATTGACATTAGTATTAACATTGCTGTTGTCATCCAATGACCTGCGCATCTGATTAGAATTGACATTAGTATTAACATTGCTGTTGGCATCCAGAGATCTGCGCATTTGGTTGGTGTTCACATTGGTGTTAACGTTGCTGTTTTTGTCATCCAGAGATCGTCGGACTGAATTGGTGTTGACATTGGTGTTGACGTTGCTGTTGTCATCAAGAGATCGTCGCATTTGGTTAGCGTTGGCCTTAGAATTCGCGTGGGTTGGGTGATATCTGTGATAACGATGCATGTCGTTAAATGGAACTTTAGTTACCGTTGCTTTGCGATGAGGATAGTCTTGAGCGGCACAATTGTCGTATTCTACTACCATCACATATTGATCATCGGGTGCTGAGTGTCCGTAGTGATGAACGTGGCGACGTTCTTCGTTCCATGATTCTCTTTCTTCGCACTGTTTGGAATCAAGAATTAATTCAATTAAATTAATTCAATTGGTCTGTGCCCATAACCTGTATAATCCAGGTCTGGGCCCATAACCTGTAATCTAGGTCTGTACCCATAACCTGTAAGTTAAAGGTTATGGGCCCAGTTGCTAGGATTTGAAATAATTGATAAATATAATGCACACTGATAGGATTTAACAAATATTTATTAAAATTTAATAAATAATTTATTAACTGTTAATAAATATTTATTAAATCCTATGATGTTAAAAAATCATTTATTAACAGTTAATAAAGCTTAATAAATATAAACAAATCCTTCTATTAGTGCACTTACCGAAATTACAAAGACTTGGGTAATCAAAATGATGAAAAATCCAAAAGAATACATGATTGAGATAAATATAGTTTAGCTTTTGTCTACAGACGGCTCACGTAAGCCAGTACTCGGTTATTTCTTATTTCAATCGTTTTATAGTCAGAGCAGAATCTAATTTCCGTGATAAGAGCTACCGGTTGATTTAAGTGATTGATTGCTATTTTTATGACAACTATAATACAGGTTATTTAATTAATTGTTATTGTCGGCAATAGGAATTGATTGGGTAGCTATGAGAAATAAAATACACGAGAACAGGTGTTAGATTTCGTCGCATCAATTATCCCAGCTACTAAACAGGGTTGTTAAATTTTTAAATGAAATGATAAATTGGATTGTAGTGATTTAATCAATTTAATGGTACGAAAAATTTAGACTCAGGTCTAATGCAGCCGAAGAATTTTTCATAAAAAAAAAAATTATTTGTAACTTTAGTATCATTTATTACAATTTAACAATTAGTAAGTAAAATAAATTTAATCTGTAATCTATCGTTTGACAAGCAAAACTTCATATGGCTTTGGCGAGATTGTTAATCCAGGCTGTGGATTAATATCCGGAAGATCACTATCACACATCGGAAGCAGCTTGAAGTTCTTCATTATTCCAGCGAAGAGCAAGAAGACTTCAGATTTAGCGACTGTTTCTCCAGGACATCTTCGGTGACCTAAAAAAACAAGAAGAGCGCACCTAAGGCGTGCGAATTTCTGAAATTGGTAAGCCAAGCTCTAACTTACCTCCTCCGAAGAATGCCAGCTTCTTGCTAGGAGTGTAAACGTTGTCCTGAATGAACCTTTCGGGCCTAAATGACAACGGGTCTTCAAAAATATTCGGATCTGCATGAACACTGTAGGTATTCATCAAAATAGTCGCGCCTTTTGGTATCCTGTATCCATTGAGGCTAGCTTCCTTGAGCGCCCGACGGGGTCCAATTATTGGAGTTACCAATCGTAGCCTCTGAGATTCTGTTATCACTGCTTCCGTGAATGGCAGCCTGGAAAAAGACATTTTTCATTAGATAGATTCAATTTCCTAGAGCAGAATTAATAAAAAGACTAACTTTGGCCTGTCTGACAAATCGGGAAGACGGTTTCCAACCACTGCGTCCAATTCGTTCTGAAGCTTTGTCTGAGCATCTTGATAGACTGTCATCCACAAAAAAAGAAAGTCCAGGGTTAGTGTTGTTGTCTGCGACCCGGCGATGAAGAGATCCACCAGAATCATCAGCAGCTGATCATCTAACAAGAAATTGTCATTATTATTGATCCTATAAGTTTACCTTATCAAAAAATTCCCGCTTACTCCATACTTAAGCCCTCAGAATTGCACTTATTACGTTTTTGAGCTCTTCGAGCTCAAAAATATAATTCATGTGTCATTTTAAGCTCTCAAGACTTTTTTTATCGATAGACAAGGTACAATTAGGAGGCTTAAATTATGTTGCAACAAGACACTTAATTTGAAAATAATAATAATTTAATTACTTTTATCACAAACCAAAGCTATTGGCAATAAAAATTGTATATAATTTGAATAAACAAAGATATCGTTCACAAATTGTATAATTCGATTCTTTACTATTATTTTCATCTGCAATATTATGACTTCTAAAAAACCTAAGTAGTTACTTTATAATGTAAATATTGTTTCGGAAGCATAAATATTTAGTTGTTGCAGCTTAATTTTATGCTATTAAGGCTACATGAAAATCATGTTGCTGCCACATAATTTTTCTCATGCTACCGCAACATGATTGTCATGTAACCAAAACATGACAAATCATGTTTCTGCCATATGATTTTCTCATGTTGCAGCCACATGATATGTCATGTTTTGGCTACATGAAAATCATGTTGCTGCCACATTATTGTGTCATGCTACCGCAACATGATTGCCATGTAACCAAAACATGACAAATCATATTTCTGCCACATGATTTTCTCATGTTGCAGCCACATGATATGTCATGTTTTGGCTACATGAAAATCATGTTGCTGCTACATTATTGTCTCATGCTACCACAACATGATTGTCATGTAACCAAAACATGACAAATCATGTTTCTGCCTCATGATTTTCTCATGTTCCGGCTACATGAAAATCATGTTGCTGCCACATGATTGTCATGTAGTCGAAACATGACAAATCATGTTTCTGCAACATGATTTCATCATGTTCATTTACCAAAACTGCATCATGTTGCATTTACTATTTATTTTTTTCCGTGAGTAGATTCCCATATAAACTCATGTGAATTTTTTTGATAGGGTGGTTTAAAGTAAGGAGCTCAACAAACCATCGAATTCAGCGTCAAAAACATCTCCTAGATGCATTTCTGTTAGGAACATGTCAATCAAGTCTTTCTCACTGCCCTTGACGTAGTTCTTCTTGTGCTCTTCAATTGTCTCCATCAGAAACGCCTTGAGTTCGTTGTTCAGAGTGACCAATACTTCGTAACCGCATGCTTTGGGCGCGATATGGCGGAGCCAAGGAAATACTGAGAGGATTCCGCCGGTAATATCGAAGGCTTGGGCTCTTCTTTCCATGATATCGAGGAAGTGCATCAATCTGTTTAAAGAAGAAGAAGAAGAACGACTCTTAATAAGGAAAATTTTGATAAGAACTAATTGCTTGGACCTACCTTCTCTTATCATCAATCCTCTTTCCAGTCACCAGTGTCCACAGTCCATTGATAACCGCTGGAGCAATCATCGACTTAATTCTTACTGGTTTGTCTCCTTGGCGCTTCAATCCCTCAATCAGGATCTCCAATTCTTCGCTAATCCTGTTGCACATTTCTTCCCGGCCGAATCCTAAATTTCGGAGGGATCTAACTAACCACCCTCGAACTGCCTTCCATTCGGCACCGTCCGTCATGGTGATGCCTTGAATCAATGGAAATATTGTCAGAAAAATTTTAATTAAATTAAATATAAGACGAATTGGATCTTAAACTAATTAATTATGGAAGATTTTATGGATTAGCATTCTAAATATGACAAACCTTTTTTGATCCCCATATTTCTGACCTTGACGAACTCAGTCCAAGGACGCGCGTCATAATTGTCGTCGCGAAGAATCTTTTGGATACTTTCATACCCACCTACCACATAGACGCTAGAACTTCCTAGCCAAAGTTTGATAACATCACTGTTGTATTGTTGATTTAGTTTCGTAAATGCGACATGCTGGCCGCCGAATTTTCGGCTTAATTTTCGGATTAGCTTCAGGTTGCCGAAGATTGGCCATGGGTAAGGACCTATCAATATTAAACAATGTATAAAATCAAAGTTTGTCATTTTGATTTGTTGAAATTATGAAATTATATGGTGGGATAAAGTTAAGGGGATCAATTATTGTGGTGTGAAATTTTGAAAAATAATTATTATGAAACCTTATACAGTTTCACACTTTAATCAAGATATTCTCTAATAATTTTGTTATTTTGTTCTTATCTAAGCTTTTTATTCTTGATTAAAAAATTATTATGTACATTTTAAATCATAAGTATTATTATTACAACTTTTCACAATCATTAACATTAGTATCTTAATTATTCCAGCTATGACATAAATTATTTAATTAATTATTCACTGCGGTGATTTTAAATAAAAATTTGATTATTTTTCAAAGCATTAATTATTATGTAATCCATAAAAGTAGTAAGAATTGATACAATTGCTAATTAAGAGACAAAAAAAAATGTAAAATTCATTAAATACGTAACCGCAAGTGTATTGAGCCAGGTCAACAAGAGTCACAAAATATACAAGATAAGATTTGCTGCTTAGATTTCAAAATATCGAGTCAGGTAACTCAACAGCAGGTTAATTATTGATCGATGATTAGATCATCATATATCGTCTATAATATACCCATTGAATATTTAAGTACTTTGATAGTAAATTAATACGTAATAATTTATTAATACTTAATAATATTACTTAATAATTAATAATTAATAAATAAATTAACTATACCTGGAGGAGCATCCTTCGATCTTGTAAGAAATAGAGTTCCTAATGTCGTCACCAAGCAAATAAAGATTACATACAATGCATTCAATATCATTTCGTAATGATCGATGAATTTGTTTAACAATTTGTAAAAGAAGAAGAGTCAAAATTTAAGGTAGTAATATTGCTTAGGACACTTTGAAAGAACTGGTAAGATTCGAATATTCCTTTAAATTTTCATAACCATCTCCACTTTTTCATCCCTACCTAATTTTAAAAACACTCAAGAAATTGAATCGGTATTAACGGATAAGAATTATCTTTTAGATAATAAACTGTATGCATTATTAATGTTAACGTTATTTTTAAACTTACTAATTTTTATTTAATTATAATTATGCAGATTATCTACATTTATATTCAGTGATATACCCGTGTAAAAAAAAATCGTCTTAAAATTGTCTTAAAATTGTCGTTCGTTTAAGATCTTAAACGTGACACAAACTAAGACTATTTTAAGACTCTTTTAATAAGCCAAAAGAAAAATTCCGAGAGCAGATTTTTGAAAATTTTGTTCTCGAATTTGTTGTGAAAATTAATTTTTAGATGATTTTACGACTTTCTAACCGCAATATTTTTGAGTAAAATGTTTTTAAATTTAATTTAAAATTGTTAAAAAATTATTATCTGACAATTTTAAGACTTTTTTAAGACGTTCCCGTTTTAATGTTCCGGGGCTCTGTCACTGTTAGCCCATCTTAAAATAGTCTAAATTTTTTTTTAAGATTTTTTTAAGACTAATTTAAGATTTTTCAAGACTATATAAAAATTATTTTAAAACTTAAATCTTAAAATAGTCTTAAAAAAAACTTAAAATCGTCTTGAAAAAATCTTAAAATAGTCGTAAAAAAATCATTAAAAAATTTTCACTTATGGAAAATTATTATAGGACGTCTTAAAAAGGTCTCAAAATGATCTTAAAAAAGTCATAAAATTGTCCAATAAAAATTTTTCAACAATTTAAGAAGAGCGACCTCAAAAATGTTGCGGTTAGAA